AGAGCGATTTCCACTACAGTTTAGAGAAAAATTTTCTTGTAATTATTAAATAATGAGGAGAGATTATGAAAAACCTGGGTGGCTGTTTCCAACTGGTTAGGAAGGGTGGAAAGGAAAGTGTCCGGTAGCTGCTCTGTAAGATACCCGTGTATTTGTTGCAGCAGAGTAGAAGGAATAAGGTTTGTTATGTTGATTTGAGTTTTTGGTTCTTGAGATAGCTCCGGAAGGTCCTGTGCCTGCAATCCCGATTATAACAACAGGAATAAATTAAAACAACTATCAATATCAGATAACAATTACTATATATGTCTCTTAAGTTACTTCGGTTCCTGAAATCAGAAAAGTTGGTCAAAATCTTTTATTTGACCGAGTACAGTTCTCTTAATAAAGGTTCCCAATAAACTTTGACAAGAAAACCTTAAGGTCCAAGGAATATGGATTTGGCAAGCGCATGACTCGCGGATGTGCTGACAGAATCAGATTCCTCAAATGTACACAGTTCGGGGGAATTGCATCGCAGAAGACGCAGCAGTACTCACAAAGCAATTCTGGGAAATCGTGGCGAATTACATACAAAATCCTCAAAGTCCCCTAAAAATGTGGTTTACCAAAAAACATCAATCCCACCAATACGGAACATTTAAACAACCTTGTATAACTTCAACACTGATTTCGGCATTTCAACATTGCGAAGAAAGGGTGACAAAAACTTCAGTTGGTACAAAAGAAGCTGCGTGTACATGGCAGCAGTTTTCACGGGTTCTACATCGCTTTTCAACAAACGGCTTATAAAATTTCGATGCCCAATTATGTCCAACCAAGCGAAAGCAAATCCCGGTATACGTCGTGGACGTAAATTTGACAAAGCACGCCTATAAATGCCCCTTCAATAATCAAACTCGCGATCTTTGATTAAAAGTAAAATTCACACGATTTATGGCGCAGAAAAGGTACCCAAATGCTTCAATAATATTCCATGCTACTGGACTAAGACTACTGCTCGGCTCAGTAAGTTCATTAAACATCACCATAAACATGCGTTGATGAGGCATCGGACAGAAATCAGACCCGTGTATCTGGAAAACAGAATTCCTCAAGCCGCGTCAGTTACTAAGGCGGAGATAATGCTGAAGCATAAGCAAATTTTCTGAAGTGGTAACCTTGTAATCTGCACACAGCACTTCCTCTATTGCCCCGAGAATCTTAACTAGCAAATTCACTTTCGTTTGCGCAGGGCAATCACTGCTGCACTTAACCATCAAACTAAAAATTTTCAGAATAAAAATCAAGTCATATCCTAGCGAACTAGAGTTTAATGCATCATAATACAGACACATACAAAACGACGAACCATGCCAGTTTTGCAAAAGCATCCAGAGTGTAATAACATCGTTGCCTCGCAGAAGTTGCCTGTTCAGCATTGGGATCATTCTTTAGCAAGCGATAAGTAACATCAGCACAAACGTAAGCGCAAGCATGAAAAAACTCGGTGATTGCAGCATCCGATGAAATGACATTCAACTCGCTCATCTTAAATCGCTGTTTTTGGTCATACACAGTTATCAACAAAAATGACAAGCGTTTTAAAAAAAAGCCAGTGAAATAAGAAAAAAATTTCAGCAGATTTGTAAATAGTAGTCACCTGAACCAGTGCCACTGGCTTTTAAACAGGATCTTAGTCGTCCAACAACAAGCAAAATTATTATTTGATGCAACTTACTACGCGAACAATAAGGGCCAGTGCTCGTTCCGGTTGCCGCTGAGCCTCAATAGTATAACAAAGTTGAATCCATTCCTTCAAAACTTTTTCTGCTTTTTCACGGAGAGACTGATTCCCATCCACGCCATTAACATTTACTTTACTGATTTCGCTTGGAACTCTCCCAACCTTCACCTTCAAGTCTTTTTTGGGGCCATTAGCCTTCCCTGAACTAGCAGCTACAGGTAATCCAGCGCTTTTTCCCAAAAAATTGTTGACGTTTGTCACTGGAGCACTATTCGTACCTTGATGCAATTGTAAATTAGTAGTTACACTGTAAAAAAGGTAGAATTACCAATTAGGAAAAATGAAGCATACAATAAGAAAGAAAAGAAAAAGAGACTATTCATCACCTGGGTAAACACGACCCCGGATGGCTTTGTGCAAAAGGAAACTTCAGAAGACTTTCCGTCGATAAAGGTAAGTCATAACGACCCTGCTTTACAAGATTCCTAGCGAGAGCAATAGCCTTCAAATAGTAAAACTTAACGAATCCTGCGCAACTGTTTAGCAACGAGTTGTGAAAAAAAGACGCGACCACAAAATGCCTCTAACACGATTGACAACGAAAACAAACCTCGGTACTCCCCGCGCTTATATGCATAGCCAAATATCGATCAAAAAATGGAAGTTGGAAAAGTCCTTGTTCAGTAAGGAAGTTCACAAATTCAGCATTAAACTTATGTTGCAGCGTCACGTCAAAAACTATGCGTACAATGTTTCTCAAAAAGTCTTCTTGTCCCACTTGAAAGATAAACGCTTTGCAGATGTTAAAAAATATGTACTTCAATCTTCTATCCCACTCATTTTCCATTTGCGACACTAAAAAAATGGTATAGACAAGATTTTTAACCAAATGCCTTGTTCAAAATACTAGCCACACAAAACCAACCTAGATCAGTGCGCTTTTTACTAACACTTGCATGGTTAGTTTTGAAAACTGCACTCATTTGACATAACATTTTCTGAACAAAACCGTATTGTAAGACACGATCCTCAGGTTTAAGCAAAAGTTGGACTAGTCCTTCACGGAAAACTGATAAAGGTCCGCTAACTTTAAACATCTGCGCAGTACTCCCACTAAGCACCAATTCGATTTCACGAATGATAGCTTGTAGAAGAATTTTGAACTGGTCAATCTTTTTATCTCTCTGAAAAGTTCTCGAGTATTTCTAAAACCGTGCCGTAACTTTTGAGTAACCCTGCACCCCAAGTAAGAAAAATTCACTGAATACTTCAGATAAACAGGCCACCGACCTGCTGCACTGCAATATCTCTAGCTGAGTTTGACTGGCCACTGTTAGCAGTTTCGCTTTCTCGTGCAAAGTTGTATAAAGACAACTTCTTAAAACCACAAATATTGCTGAAAAAATTTAGTTTAAAAAAATAGAGTGGTATTACTAGAAGCCTGTAAAAAAGTCCCAGTGTCAGTACCCACCTTAAATACTCATTATATACTGTCGTCTGACTTGACGTTACTGAGTTCGGTCTAATTTTTTCAGGCAGTTGTTGAACCGCTGCCATAAGTTCGACACTTAATCGTTGTCTTGCATCATTCTTTTCACGCCCAGAAACCAGTTTATGAACTTCCTGCACTGCTCTTTCACACGCTGCTTTCACCACAAAGCAAGTTGCTATTTCGATATTTTCCTTTGCCAATGCAGTCGCAAGTTTCTCCAAGATTTGCTCCTTAAAATAATCTTCCCTTACCGACGTTTAACAGGTTTCCACCCTTAAAAACTTACTTTATCAGAGCCTAAAGCGGAATCATTTAAGACACTCCTCAAGCCGTCCACTAGGTATTTCTGAATGCGACTGTACAGCAAGTCTCTACTAGTCACGTAAGTCATACCGGAAGTTAAACCATAAACCATAGACACCAAAGATTGGGAGTAACGCGTCTTCTCAATGTCAAAGGCAAAGTCCTAAAAATCCGGTCGCCGTAAATAAATGAAAGATAACTTACAAAAAAAACATCTTATTAAAGCAAATAGTTTGACTAAAGAAGAATGCTACTTGAGGATCTGAGGAATATCAATTTACTGCTACATTATCACACAAAGTAGTGGAATGAACTACCTTACAACAAACGTTCCAAGCAACCTCAATGGCTATCTTACATGAACGAGCTACTGAATAAGAAATATGGTCATTAATCGCTGAACTAATTGCAGAATAAACCGGGCATAACAGGTAGGAGCTTGCCTGTAACAAAAAAAAAAAA